TCTACATAATGTTTTCTGAAGCGCTTTTCTGAAGCTAGGTTGTTCAACGCCAAGAGAGTTGGGCCATTTATACTGGCTGCTAGAAACTCCCAGCCATTCATTTGAGCCATGATGCTGAACTGAGCCAATAAACTTCCTAGAAATTCTTTCCTCAGCAATAGTGGAATTTTCCATCGTTTGAGTTGGGACACTTAATCTCCCCACTCTGGCTCACTATGGGTTACAAACAGGATTTTAAAATTGTTGCAAATGTCCAGTCTTGCCAAGTCTTCTGATTGGCTAAATTCCACATCCAGGCAGCTGACTTCCATTGTGCTCTCTGACCCTTTCATTTCTTCCTTAAGATGATTTTTCAGCTGCCTAAACCCTGGCTGCCTCTTATCTTTATTAGCAAGTAACAAGTCGACCAAACATGCTTGGTCTCCTCCAAGGAACATTTTCTGATTAATAGCATTCAGGCTGCTTGTCACTTCATCAATCCATCTTGCCATTCCCAGCCAGGAGCTTTATAGCTCCATCTGTAAATCATCCCCCAAACCTTTCTGGGAAATTTTCAGATGCTGCTTTAATCTCATTAGTGAAACAATAAGCTTTTGTTTTAGCTCTTGTTTTAATTCTTTTGAACCAATTTTGATTTCTGCAAGCATCCTCATTATTCCATTTTACCCAAACATTTTTTCTTCACTTTCTTCCTAAGATTCACTCTATCAGGGCTTCTCTGACTGTGAGGGCATGTCTACACAGCAGCATTATTTCGGAATAACTTACGTTATTTTTTTATATAACAAAATGCGCACCTACAGGACAAGCCTTTATTTTGAAATAATAACGAGCTGAAGGACTTCTTACTCCAACTCCTGTAACTCTCATTTCATGAGGAGTAAGGGAAATTGAAGGAAAAGTGTTCTTCCTTCAACTTCCTGCTGTGTAGATAGTGCCAAAAGTCGAATTAAGCTATTTCAACTTCAGCTAGGCAATTGAAGTAGCTGATGTTGCGTATCTTTAATTAGACTTTTGTCCTGCTATGTAGAAGTACCCTGATTGGGGTATGTTTGCTCCTTCTGTGTATTTCTGCTTTTTTTTTCTCCTATGTGTGACTCCAAGAATTAATTCCGTGGCCCCTGAGGGCTAGACTGCAAGGATCTATCGGAAAAAGATACGCAAAATCCCTGGACCCCATAGTCTAACCGTACCCTGAGTTTTCTGTATTAGCCTCTAAGGAAAACCCTAGGATCTGTAGTTCAGTTTCTATTCAAACCTAACCATTTGCTTGAGGTTTTTTGGCAGTGGCTCCTATTTTTTCATCTGTCTGATTCCATAATAGTGTTTTATTATTTCTTACATTTATCCTGAATGAAGGAACAGTGGTTATGCCTACCTGGTTTCATTTGAGGTTTCACTACCTGCCTCGTGGATGTAACAACAATACTCGGCTCCTCTTGGAGCATGATTTGAAAACAAGGATAGAGAACATTTCTAGTATGTACCAAATTATCCGACCAGGAATTCCATGTTGTGAATAATTTTGGAGTCATAACCTTTTATTATGATGTGTATGTACCACATATATAATTCCATGATACAGTGAAGTATTTGACTTACCTCAATTTCACTTTAGCTTGTGAACACAGAACAACTTGAAAAAGATATTTGATCATATTATTCCAGTAAGATGATGTTAGATGCGCAGATGTATAGAGCGGTGAGGAGTCCTGTGTATAAATGTATAGAATCACTTATCTTTATGCTAAAAAAAACTTAATTGTTCCAGTTTTGTAAATTGCACATCTGCTAGACTCCCTGATCTCACAGTTGGTATGCATTCGGTTTTCTGTACAAAGTCCTAACCCTTTCTTACTTTTTAAGATACTAAAAAGTCAGGTTTTTTATTATCCTCTCTAACCTCTTAGAACTTAGAGGACCTCCCATTTTTCTCTGGTTTAACCTTTCCATTCATTTTTGCCTTTGTGTCTGATACCATCTTTTTGGATTAGAAGTAGGTGATGAGAATCTGTGTGGAGCATAACATTACTTCACTTTGTCATTTGAGGTGTGTGTGTGTGTGTATATATATATATATATATATATGGGAGAGGGATAGAGGAAAAAAATCTATGTTTCCATCTCTCTCTACCACCCTTATGCCTCCCCCCCTTACAATAGTATCAGAGCACTTCACAATTTTTAAGGTAAGGTAGGGTTGTGTGGGGAAGCATTCTGTCCCCACCTCAG